AGAGTGGTTCTGGAGTCACCTGTTTCTAAGCAGCCAGCTACCACATAGAGATGGGTAGGTGGGTGGAAGCAGCCACCTACTTGTCAAAATGGCACCTCTGGAAACTGCTTGAACAACATTTCTCTGTCCCCTCCTAGATTTGCATCATCCTGCCGCACTAGAATTAATCTGTCTGATCAGCACTGCTTTTATTTGCCAGAGAGCTGCAAAACAGCTCAGATTTGCCCCTTGCCAGCATTTTATAGGATATGCAGAAAGTCTCAAGGGTTCTCAATCTCCACTAGGTCATGACTACTAGATTTACTCAAAAGAAGTGAAATAATTTCACTTCACTGTACATATCTAAACGTTAATCACCTCCATCTAAGCAAGTCACCCTGGGCTCCTTTAAGACCTGGTGGAGAGAAATGAGCACCTCCAAAAGGCAGCTCATTTCATCTTCACATAGATGCCTAAGATGGATGAGAGGAGTTGCTTTCTGGAGGTGTCTATTTCTCTCCATTAACTATACAGAGAGCCTGAGGTGATGAGCTTGCACTCTGATGATTAACTCACAGTGTCAGAAGCTAAAGGCATATGAATCCCATGTGCAGTGCATTAGCATTTGAGCCCTGCAGACAGAAGGGAGGGGGTTACAGAGCACACTGTTGACAGCCACTCTGGTGGATTCTTTTTGCCCTGCAGAGACGTGCCTGGTGACATATCCAATGACTTCCCAGGGAAGAAGCAGCAACCTAAATGCAAAGAATGGATCAGGAAAGTCGAAGGGGAATACATTAAAGAAAGAGAAAAAGAAATGTATAGATAGCAACCAGCCAACAGTTACATGCTGGATGTTTCCTGCCCAACACAGCACGGCTCAGTACGACCAGCTATATCTGAATTATCCAGAATTGCAGTCAGGGAGACTGTAGTTAGCCCACAGGATGGTTTCACACTACGTTTCCCCTTACATCTGCAGTTCTTCCATAATGGAAATTTGGCAGACTGAGCGGGTGCATGCACACATATCTGAATGCATATGAAATCTTGTCTGAAAGGCGTGTCCCTTTTCATAGCAAGACATTCGTGCCCATCTGAAAGAAAGCAACTCAGCAGGCTCTACATCATCTACCTATAAATATGCCCAGGATTTCACAGATCAGGTCTGAAGGAGTATTGCTGGGATGCAGTAAGAGATGATCCAGTTATAGCGATACCTCCCCCCTGTGCAAGCTGAGTACTTGTCCCCAGCACTACTTAGTGGGAATTGAAGAATCCTCTTATCACCATTCAGAGTTGGAAAGATAAGACACAAAACTCTCTTGAGCACCAGCCCGGTGCCACAATTACTGACTAATCGTGTCTCTGCAGCCTGTCACAAGAACATTTTTTGGCAGTCATTTCAGCTCCTTTCACAGTCACATGAAATTAATTTAATTATTTTTTAAAAATCTAAAGAATAATGGGATTTAATTGACTTAATGTGAAGCTTTCTGGGCTGTCACTCCACCCAGCTTCCGATCAACTTGTAATCGTTCAGCTGTGAGTGACTGATGTTTGTGCCTTTCATTAATAGCCCATTGTCTCAGTTAAAATCCTTCCTTCCATGCTTAGTTCTGTGTCATATTGCTTTTATTTTTCAAATCTGTATTTTCATTGTCAGGCACCCCGGACAAAGGGCTCTCCATGTGTATGGGATTGACACAGCTGCCTTCTGCTCCTAGAAGCTGGTTTCACCTGTAGTTGCAGTGTGTTAGGGGAGGATGAGTGAGATGCAGAGTCACTGCCTGGGCCACATGCCAAATGGCATTGTTTTATACAATCATGCACGTGTCTAAATAAATACTAATCAGTTTTTATTTGTCTGACCAGCATGATGATGGCCCCATTGAAGGCTATGGCCCTGTTATGGCTGGTGTCATATGAACACATATTAGGCTTACCATCCTCCTCTAACCTCCAAACAAAAGTAAGAGATGTCAGAAACTCTATAGAGATTCTGAGACAAAAATTCTCTTCAGCACTGATGACCATAAAAAATGCTTGGGAATCTCATTCCTTTGTTGTTCAAAATTTGAGGAAAATATTAGCACATCATTAATGAGATCCAGAGGTTTTTGCTCTTCTTGGTCTGTGCCATCTTCCACACCCATTTTAAAACACTGAACCCTCCAGCAGTCTTGAACACACTTCACCAGAAAGCACCAGGACAGAATCACAGAATCACAGAATATGCCAAATTAGAAGGGACCCACAAGGATCATCGAGTCCAACCCTTAGCCCTGCACAGTACCATCCACAAGAGTCACACCATGTGCCTGAGAGTACCATCCAAATGCTTTTGGAACTCAGACAGGCATGGTGCTGCGAACGTATCACTGGGGAGCCTGTTCCAGTACCCAACAACGCTCTGGGAGAAGAACCTTTTTCTAATATTCAACCCAAACCTCCCCTGACACAACTTCAGGCCATTACTTCAGGGCCTGTCATAGATCACCAGAAGAGATCTGGTGAAGAGCCTGCCCTTCTTCCCCTCACGAGGAAGTTGTAGACTGCAATGAGGTCTCCCCTCAGTCTCCTCTTCTCCAGGCTGAACAGACCAAGTGACCTCAGCCGCTCCTCATATGGTTTCCCCTCAAAGCCCTTCACCATCTTTGCTGCCCTCCTTTGGACACTCTCCAATAGCTTAATATCTTTCTTACATTGGGGTACCCAAAAGTGCACACAATATTCAAGGTGAGGCCACCCCAGTGCAGAGCAGAGCGGGACAATCCCCTCCCTCAACCGGCTGGCAATGCTTTGCCTGATGCCCCCCAGGACACGGTTGACCCTCCTGGCTGCCAAGGCACTGCTGACTCATATTCAACTTGCCACTGACCAGGACCAACAGGTCCCTTTCCATGGCACTGCTTTCCAGCATCTCATTCCCCAGTCTGTGTGAACATCCAGGGTTACACCATTCCAGGGACAGAATCCAGCACTTTCCCTTTTTGAACTTCATATGGTTGGTGATTGCCCAGCCCTCTAATTTGTCAAGGTCTCTCTGCAGGGCCTCCCTGCCTTCCAGGGAGTCAACAACTCCTCCAAGTTTTGTGTCATCTGCAAACTTGCTTAGTATCCCTTCCAATTCTGTGTCCAAGTCATTTATGAGGATGTTGAACAGTACAGGGCCCAAGATGGAGCCCTGTGGAACCCCACTAGAGACAGGTCACCACTCTGATGTCACCCCATTCACTATTACCCTCTGTGCTCGACCTGTGAGCCAATTGCTCACCCACCACATGATGTGTTTATCCATTTTGTCCATCAGGATTCTGTGAGAGGATCCTTTGGTAAAGTAGGAGAGACAGGAACAGAGACTTTAGTGGAGGGATTTTTAAACCAACAACATTAAACAACAAGTATCTACAGCTGTGCAAAATAATATGATTTTTGGTTAGTGACAACTTCTTTAGACAAAGCAGAGGTTCTTTTACTTCTGTTCTTCACTTCTTGTTTTCCCTGTATCCCATGCATCCTTAGATCCCATCCCTCCTTAGAAAAGCAGAAACGTTTTAAGACTGTCCTGTGGCATTTTTATCCAAATTGTTTGATGTGTGAGGAAGCTTCCATCCTACGTGTTTGGGCAGAAAATGTAGCATCAAAGTTGCATTTGATAAGGCAAACACTGCTGGTAGAAATTATGTCATTCTCAGAGGGAACAGCTACTTGATTTTGAGTCACTGATGGCCTCTAAACGCTCTCTGTGGTACTTCCATATGGTATCTATGTACAGATACCATGCAGAACTGAGCGACTTCACTTCGGTGTGCTAAGGCAGCGTGGATGCAATATTATAATCACAAAACACGCTTGCAAACCCACATGGCTCACACCACAGCCCCGCCTGGTCCAGGAGCGCATCTCCGGCACTGGCCAGCACGGGGTGATGACTGATGGGCTTGCGAGGAGCGGGCAAGCACCAAGCAGGCTCCAGGTGCCCAGAGAGCCCCCGCAGCAGGTACCAGCCCTCGGAAGCGCTCTGCCCGCCGACACACCTACTCTCCGCGCCGCTGCCCAAACCGGGGCGGGCTGGGCTCCAGCCAGCAGCGGGGTGACCCAGCCGAGCTCCAGGCAGGGTGGCAGCCGCCCGCCGACCCATCCCTCGACAGGACAACGACAGCACCCCCCACAGGGGCCCAGCCCCGCGCACCGCTGGCACGGACAGCGGCGAGAGTCGTGCGTGAGCAGCGGCAGCAGCCCCGCCAGGGAGCGGGGAGAGGCGGCTCGGGGCCGGGGCCAGGCGGGGCCGGGCCGGGCCGGGGCGGGTGCCCCCGGTGCTCCCCCGGCGGTGCCGGAGCCGGCGGCGGGTCGGCGGGCGGCGGTGCCCCCTGGCGGGCGCGGCGGGCCGGGGGCGGTGCCGGTGCCTGTGCCGTGTCCCCGCCGGCGCGGAGCGGAGCCCAGGGCAGCGGAGCCGCCGCATCCTCATCCTCGCCTTGGCCCGGCCCCGCCGGCTCCCCCCGCCCAGGGGGGCGGGAAGGCAGCGGGCGCTGCCCGCAGTCGCGGCGCGCCCCGAAGTGGCTCCGCACGGCGTTTTCCCCCCACCCCGCCGCCACCGATAAATCCCAGTGCCGGGGGGCAGCGCAGCACTTGGCGGCCGCCGCGCTGCGGGGAGGCGGCGGAGATCGGAACGCCCCACACACCCCCTCCCCAGGGTGGCGACCCCCGCCCAGGGGCAGCAGGAGCCGCTACCGCCGGAGCCCAGGTGAGTGCCTGAGGCTGGGCTGCTGCGGGAGGAGGGACCAGATAGTGCGAGGGTCGCAGGGAGCTGCAGGAATGTGCAGGGTGCTCGTCTGGCATCCCCCGCTGCTGCCCCGAGGGGACGGGCTGCAAGGGGAAACCCCGCTAGCACAGCGGCGGGCGGGCAGCAGGCTGCCGCCCTGTAGCTACTCCTGAGTTTTCCTTCGTGAGCTTGAGGAGGCTCCCGAAAGTGTCCTTGAGGGCTGCGCTGCTCCAGTGTCCGTGGGAAGCTCGGAGCGGGGGTGAGTAGCGAGGGTATCCCGCCCAGCGCGGCTTCCCCTCGGCTCCCAGCGCTGCCCTCGCCCCGGTAAGCAGCGTGCTCTCCAGGGTTGTCCAGATATACCCAGTCGCTATTCGTGTTGCTATGAGGTCTGGCCCTTTCTCTCAATAGGTAGAAAGGGCAGTGCTCTGCCCTCTGTTTTCCCACGTCTGGGTGGGGTCTGAGTGGTGGAATGATGCACAGGATGTGAAAATAGTTATTGTCAGTACTGTACAAGGTAGACTGTACTTCTCGCTTCAGGACTGGACCTCCGGGGGCATGAAATACAGCTGTTGTACTGTCGAGCTACCTGTTAGTCTTTGTGACCCAAAATGAGCATCAGGTGGAATAGAGACCTTCCTTTGGTCATAGTTTGGGGTCTCATTCAATAGACACGTGTAGAGAGACAGAGGGCAGAGAACAGGGCTAGTTCGTTTTATTGTTTGTAACCAACCTTACACGTGAATTGGGGGCCATGCTGACTCTAAATAATGGGCTATTAAAAGCATAAAGAATTTAATGTGTGTTTATTTCCTTGTGGCTGGGATTCTTACTGAAAAAAATCTGAAACGTTCAGCTTCAAAAGAAAGGAATTGGCATGTGATCTGGGTGTAATGGGGCTCTAAGTTTAAAAACAAAACTAAACAAACAAACAAAACAGAAAAAAAAACCCCACACCAATCTGTAACTCCGATGATACCGAAACAGCACTATTTTGCCATAGAGAAATCTGTAAATATGGTATCCACATAGCAAAGTGCTTGTTAAATCCAAGTGAGGGCTTAGGTGACATGAGCTTCGGTGGAATTACTCAGCAGCTGAAGGCAAGGCTGAAGGCAAACGTGCTTCTGTGCTTCCCAAAACCAGGGCTTAAGTACTGCTCATTGAAGCATTCAGTCACATGAATCCCAGTCGTTCAAAAGTTCAAGACAAACCAAATTAGGGAAAATGTGGACTGAACAGCATCACCAGTCTCTCTGCACAAGCACTAGGTAATCACTGGTGCTGTGGATTTTTCCTGTGCTTTTTTTAGGAGGTCTGTAAGTATGGAGTGAGCAGTTCTTGACTGTCTTAAAATGCAGATTACAACCTCATAAGAGCCAGTAGCCCTGGCTGGGTAGTAGCCTACCTGGTAGTAGCTTCAGCCTACCTTTGCATTTCAGTCATCTCTCAAACTCTGGGACTGGGGAGGATAGCTTTCATATGCTCTACCCAATTTTAAAAGTGCAAGCACATAGAGAATCTCTTATTTTGTAAGACTATGATCTGCAATTCATTTACAAGCACCAAAACCAGATTATTGTCAGGCAGAAGATACATAGATAGTTGTCAGGAACCAGAGCACTTTCCAACATGAAGAAAGAGAACATTATATAATTAAGATATCCAAGGAGTAGCATTTATTTCTAAATACCACTTCTGCAAGGTACTCTTTGATTCCTATGAAATTAGAGAAAATTGTACTTAACTGTCACCTGTTTTTTCTCTGCTAATGAAGTCCTGTACATGCTGAAATCATCTGTATCCTTGGATATCTTCCCATTCTTTTCAGGATGCAGATAAGTATGCCTGCCTTACGAGCTCCAATAAAGTTATGATGCACTTTTGCTTGAATTGTTATTTAACAGTTTGAGGAGTGTACTGGCAGTGTTGGTTTCACGGTTCTGAGTGTTAGCCTGTTGCTTTTGATGATGTGCCTTGAGCTTTGTTGTTGTTTTTTTGGTTCTTTTCTTTTACTGTAAAACCCACCAGCTTCACCAAGTGGCCACCTAAAGACAGTGGATGTTGGCTTTAAAAGTCATGTAAACCTGATCCTGGTATTTCTGCTGAAATCCAGGTGCCCTTTGCTTGCAATCGCACTCGTGAGTAGAAGGGGAGCCTGGCAGCAGCCCCTCTTCTGACTGAAGGGTTTGGATTTATCATAACCTTCCTGTAAGAATGATATGTTTAAGACATGAGGATCTCTTCCAGGACACAAAGGGAGTAGTCATGTATAGTAAAAAGGAAGAAAAAAATCTCAAAGAAAAGTCTTTAATTAGTTCAAAGCTATTTGGAGGGTCATTTCTCAGACACTGGGAGGACACCATGAGAAAGAAAAAGGTCATCAGGCCAAACTCATCTCCATCTAATTACATTAAGTCTGTCAAACTAATCCCTGGCACAACTTGACTGAAAAAATACCAGTCTGGTTCTACTTAATAAAGTGACTAGTGTATTAAAAACACCAGCACCTATTTCTCCACAAGATCAGGTATGTAAATACAGCTGCTTATGAGCAGCCCTCATAAATTCAACAGGGTTTGATCTATGTAAAATTAACTACCTGCCCAAGGTTTTACTTCTGCAAACAGATGGTGGATTAGCCCTTCTGAACCTTTGTAAACAGATAATTTGGTGCTCTTGACAGTCCTGGCAGCAACAAATGTGGGGTCTGTGGAGGTCTCTGCAGGAAGTTCCGCAGGTGCAGGTAAGGTCAGAATTTGAATGTAACTGAGGTGGAGATGTGGTCCGCGGAAGTGAGTTGAGGAATGGTGAGGTGGGAAGCATCTTGCTGACCTGGGAATAATCTGCTGCACAAATGTAGTATGGGAAGCAGCTTGCCTGGTAGAAGTTCTGCAGAAATAAAAAGCAGTACTGAGAGAAAGCCAGACATCTTGCAGGGCTGCACAAGGAGTATTGCACCCTACAAAGCATCTGGTGGGATTTGGTCCTGTGAGTCAGCACTGATGAGGTCTTGGTTGGAGGACTCTGCCAACTGAGGACACAGCCGTTCAGTGTGTCAGCTACCTTGTGAGCGTGCAAGGAAGGGCTTAGAAAGATGGTCTGAGGGAGATTCATCAGGCTCTTTAACCTGAAGAGTGGACTGAAGCAGGACATGCTCGTAGCCTGCAGATCTATAAAAGAGGAAGGGTGTTATTATCTTCTCTCTGTGAAGCCAGCATGGGCTCAAGCCCTAGAGCAACCATTGTGCTGAACTGCTGAGAAACTTCCCATGGGGGAAGTTTCTAAAGGCTCAGTCACATTCATAGCAGCAGCTGTACTCCCATCCAGGCAAGAAGATACCTTGAAAGAGTCACAGGGTGTCCTTAGATGTCCTGGGCTTGGGTAGGACTTCGCAAGGGTGCTTTTATAACAGGGAGCTCCTACTACAAAGGAATATCTTTATTTGTTCCCACAGACAGTAGAGTTATCTCGGACATAACTGTTTGGGCTTGTAAATTATATAGAATTCCAGGAAGCACCCTGATCAGCCCCAACATCTAACTCCTCTGCTCACATGGAATTACCCTTTTGCTTACTGTATTTTCACATCCAGAAACAAGAAGGCAAAATGCCGAAACGAAGGCCACCCTTTCAAAGACAAGGCTTAGTCTTACACGTGGCAGTTGCCAAGGCTGTGGCTGCTGACCTAGGCTTCCTGGATGCCAGTTTCCTGTTTGTTTCCTTTGCTGGCTGGATCCTTTTGCCCAGCTGGCAGCTTCTGGGGCTGTAGAGTCTGCCCGCTCTCCCTGGACCCACAGGGAAGGCACCTCCTCATCCCACTGTTGTGGCCAGGGGACATTTCCACTCCAGCCTCTGCTTTGGATACCACTCCACACTACCAGTTTCCTTCTTCATTACCCATAAGGGCTGGCTGCTTCCCTCACCAAAGAGCCTGTGGAACATGGGGTGCAGCCTTTCCCTGCTCAGCCTCACTCTTGCGGAAAGACACAAAAGGACATCTCCATTTGGAGCAGGCAAATCAAGTATTTGTCTGTTGCAGAAGCTCATAGCAAAATTGCTTCTGAGGGTCACCCATGTCCTCTCAGGGGGTCTGTCTGGGATGAAGGTTTTGGTAGCACCCAAATCATTATTCAATCTCTGCAGTAGTCTCAAAAAGGCATAGTGGTACAGTATCAGCAGCTCACCAAATACGATTTAAAAGCTAGGGCATCACATTGCTAGCCCTCAGCATTGCCACTTGTTTGCAACCACTGGAAACCTTCCTCTTTCACACTTCTGGCCAAACACCACAGTTTCAGATTGGCAGGGAACAGGCTACATCGAGACCTCCAGTACCACCCTTGTAGAATTATCCTTCTTTTCCTGAAAGACTTTCCAAGTTTGGATATCCTGGGAGAATATCATGCTGATAGCTTCTAATTATGCTTCTGGTTGATTTACCAATTTATGCCTATTTAAGATCTAGAAGTCATGGAAGGCCAAGATGGATCCCTTTCATGAACCTGCATCTCAGATGTAGCGGCATCTCTTTGGCAGAGCCTTCAGAGAAGGGGTGTGACACATATCCAGCTCTCCAGGTTGGACAGGCCCAGTCCCAGTGTGGGCTACTTGAGCCCTTGGCTGTCTTCTGTCCCTCCAGACACCTTCTTCATGCTTCTAGGTGTTTTTGCAGCTACCTGAGCTGTGACAGCGTGTCACCATAGCAAAATGCTCTCTTTGAGTTTTTGGGTTGGACCCTGAGCTGCTTCTGTCTCTGAGTGTCTTTCCTGTAGGAGATGAATTTGAAGCCAAGCATATAAGCTGAAAAGTACCATTCAGAAAGAGATTCACGGTCCTGTTTCATCTGGGATGCATATGTGGAATTATTCCGTGTCTGAAAGCACTGACTCAGAGCTCACATGTGAATTGCCAGGATAATTCCACTATTCTGTGTTTCACAGAATTGAATGTTCTCTGCCTTGCTTCAGGTGTTTGGTTGATGAAAATCTTTCAATTTTTCTCCTAGAGAGAGTTTTGTAGACTGTTGTGCTGTAACTATGTCTTTCTGACTTGCAAACACACAATGACTGCCAATCAATATCTTAATTTTAAAATGGAAAGCTTCCCATCAACACCACATTCTTGCAGTAAGGTTTTTGAGTAGTAGCGTTTCTCGTTTGTGTGAAATTCTGCATGAAGGAAAATACTTGGAGCTTAACAAAACTATATCTATGCTGTGTCTTGACTTCACATGCCAAAAAATCCAGAGGTGCAAAACTGAAGTTGGCTGCCCAGCAAGATCCTGTCATGCGAGTGGGTGAATGTACTACACAGGCATAAATCAC